TATAAACTCACATTTCAACTACACTTTAACCTCTGTATATATCTTTTTTTAAAAATCCTTTGTTGTCACCAGCCTGCATTTTAAAATTGAAAAGGGTTTTTTCAATTTTTAATTGGATTTATTTTGCTGTGATATAAAAAAAAAGCTTGAAGTAGAAAAAAATATATATAAACATAAAAGTAGAGCAAAAAAAGGCAAACGTATTTCACTCAGATTTTGAAATTTTGCAACAAAAGTTAAATCCGGCCAAACTTTAATAGGTAAAGTACTTTAATTTTAAAAGTATAATGCATATCATAAAAACAAAAATTCTTAGCGACCCGGTGATGGACGAATTAAATTTTGCCAAAAAATTCATAAATTTGATAAATTATTTTGAGTAACTAACAAATATGGTACGCTAAGTTTCATCGTGTCAAACCGATGTGTTGAATCCGTGTCGACGTTTGTTTCATCAAGTTCGTTAAAATTCATCTCTGGAACGATCAGATCCAACCTTTTTAATTTTCAGCATTAAATAAAAACATTTAACCAAAAAAAGTGGAGAAAAAAATTATGTTTTCTCTTCACCAACTGACACACTCAGAATTGTTGATTAAATTTAAATATATGCCACTGCAGTTGTTGTTTTGTTGAAACTTTTATATCACTACTGCAAGGGCATAAAATTGTATAAAATGTTCAGCTTTGTATTACCTAAAATAATAAGACGAGGCAGGACAAGAAGGCTTGCATGTTAAATAAAAGAATAAAAAATTATTTAATTTCAGTAGGATGGCCTAAGGGTTTCCGGTTTGTTTTTAATCAGTATCTATACTTTTCACTTTTTCACGTAATTTTTTACTTTATTTAAACGGATAAAAATTCTAAAAGAGCATAACTTATGTTATCAGATAAGCTTAAGGTGGTATCCAGCCATTATTTTGGTAAAAAATAAAAAAAAAAAAATGAAAATTTGAAAAAATGTCATTTAGACAAACTTGTAGAATAGTAAAAATATCTTTTTTCAAATAATTTTAGACTATCAAAAATATTCTTTTCAAACACATGATTTATGGGAGTAGTCTACATGATTTATAATTTTAAAACTGATTTTTCTCAATTTTTTTTTTTTTTTTTATGAGTAGCTGTAGGAAAACAATGATATCTCAATAAAAAAACATTACTTTAGCTTCAAAATTACAGGATATGCTCATTATTATTGTTTTTAGTGCCTGAACTTAAAATTAAATTAAAAAAAATTAAAATTTATCTCCAATCACCATATTAAATAGTTTTTTATACTATTAAATATTTGGTTCAAGTTTTGGTACTTTAATATTGATGTATATTTAAGATATTTATGTTCTTGGGACGTTGACTTTTTCACCTTTTTTTGTAGAGTCAGCAATTATTTGTTTTTCAAATTAAAAAAATATTTGCAAACCATTTTAGATTTGTATCTATTATGCTAGTAATTCATAAAAGGTTTTTATTATGTGTAAAATATTAGAAAACAGAAATAATGGCTGGGTACCACCTTTATTATATAAATAACATAATTGAGGCATTGTTATGTTATTTACTTATTTAAGGTTTATTTAGGTGAAAGTAAATAAGCTTTAAATGGCAGTGACGAATTTAGAAATAAACACTTTTTCCATATTATAGACAATATGAAAATGTTCTTGAAAGAAAAACTTTTAGTGTATCTAGTTTTCTTCGGTGCAAACTTAAGGTGTCAAGTATAAAACTACATTCATATGGGTTTGCTGCAAATGTTTTAGTAAAAAAGTTGACTCTAAAAAGTTCAATAGAATCTTTATAGTTAGATAAATAAAAGTATGAACAATTTATTTACCTAAAAAATATATGAAATTTAAATTGAATTTAAATCATACATTAAAAAGTACTACAATGATCAGTTAAATACTGTGTTCAACTGAGTTTTGCAGTGATTTAAATGATATCATTTAAATTTAATTTAAACTTCATATATATTTTTTTGTTAATAAGTTATTTGTATTACTTGTATTAAAGCATTCTTACGCTTGATTGGTATACATCTCCGGCCTCTAAAACTCTAGGGTAATGTGTTGTCAAATGTTGTATAGCACGTGCACAATAACCTTCTAGTATTACTTTTGTTGCTGTAAAAACTTATTCATTTATTCCAACTTTTGTCACGCACATAATAAAGGTAAAATGTGAATGGAACTTTAGGCGTTTTAGTTTTAAACTTAATTGTTTCAGCCGGGAATATCATTAAGCTAAACATAACAGCTAAGAAAGTAAATTTTCAAAAAATATTTTTAAACAAGCGTGATAAGGAGTATTTTCCTTAACCGATACCTAGATGTAAACTAGTGGTTAAACATAGCAAACATCCACTTGCTCACTCAAAATATATACAATGATTGAACCCAGAGGTGATTCTCCAAATAAAATGAATCCAAAAAAAGTACCAACTAGCTTTGTAAAAAAAATACAATACCCAACTAGCTTACTAAATTTGTAAAAAAACTGGCTCTAACTTAAAGTTCACCATCTTTGGGGAGTTTTAACACCACCCACAGACTCCACCCGTAAAATTGTCTCTTGAACTAAAATTTATTGAGCCTTGACTGATTGCAATTCACACGAATCAGTTTTACAGTGTACTAGTTCAATCACATTTTACAGGAATCTTATTAAAAATCTTTAACTTGACCTATGTTTACAATTTTATTCATTAACCAAAAAAAGAATACTTAAACAGATTTAAAAAAAAGCAAAAAAATACAACAATATAATTAGTTTTGATCAAACATTATAAACAATAAATGAATTGTTTTTTCAAAAATTTCCTAATATAAGGATTTTCAGTTAGAACCTGAAAGGCGACAAAACGTTTTTAAAAAAATGTTTAGCAATATGTTTTAAAAACAATGTTACTCAAATCGGTTAAAAAAACAACAACATTGTTTGAAATCAATTTGTATAACATTTTAAGCCAAACAGACTGCCGTACAATAATTGGATGTTTGGCAGTTTTGATTTAAAGTATAAAGGGATTATTTTATAAAGTATTATAAACTGATGATTTTGTGACTTGAATTTGTTTTTATGTACATTCACTTAAGTCTTTCTATTTTCATTTATAAGTATGTTATATACTAATTATATACATTTAAATTCTATTTTTAAAAATAAGAGAGGATACTATTTATTCTAGTGCATACAACTTTTTAGTGAATGGGAAGTGGAGTAACTGGAAAAGCTCTGAATGTTCAAAAACTTGCAGTGGTGGAATAGTAACATTATACAGAACCTGTAATAATCCACCTCCAGCATATTACGGTCGAAATTGTATTGGTATCAGCAACTACACCGAAGACTGCTCAAATGATATTGTTTGCCCAGGTATAAATATTTTATACCAAACTTTACGTATTAAACTTTTTTTTTTTATTATAACGTACTAAATATATATATATATATATATATATATATATATATATATATATATATATATATATATATATATATATATATATATATACATATATATATATATATATATATATATATATATATATATATATATATATATATATATATATATATATATATATATATATATATATATATATATATATATATATATATATATGAAGGGTACAAGGGAAAAACAGGGTATGTCAGTTTTTGAAAATATTTAGATTTTTTTATTAACATGTTCTACAAATTATAAGCTACCTTTAGTGTTAAA